CTAAAAACAAGCAGACTGTATTGTATAGGGGAGCAAATATAGATATATATATACACACACACATATATATATAGAACAAAAATATGGAAAGAAATAACCGCATACCGAAAGCTGACCCCGAGAAGAAAGGGGGGAGGGACAGACACCGGGAAAACAATAACTTGTGGAGAGGTTGTTGGTCCCTGAAGTTGGAGCTCTGTAGAAGGACTTCGTATGAATTAAGGGAAACAGCGAGAGAAAGGAAAATAATTTAGGGCTGTCAAAAGTCGTGCTCCTGACGGCTGCCAATCACCATGGAAGATTCATTAAAAAAAATCCACTGCTAATATTTTTTTTATTAATATTTTTATTTTTTATTTCTGGACTGATTCAGATAAAGGGATTTAGAAGGACTGAGCATCTGCAGCTGCACTTATCTGAACTTCTCCTCTCCTAAATCCGTTGCCAACTTTGATTGAATGGGTGCTGTGGATGTGATTATATAATGCTGCCATTTCCAAGCAGTGTTTTTGGTAGGTTTTAATAAACAGACTTTTCAAAAAGACGGCAATATAGAATTGTTAGATCCGTTGTTGATCTAAAAAAATATTTGCTTTATATTTTCATTAAATGACTTCTTTTAATATTTTATTCAGAATACCTATGAACTGCTGCAAAACGGTAATTTATTTTTCCCCAGATCTTGTATTACGTGTTTTTTTCAGACGAGCACAAATCAAAATGAAATGAAATGAAAATATGGACAGTTGTTAGGTAATAAGGGTATCTTTTGATGTGATAATTTGATTGTAATTTAATTTGAGTAGTGATTCCGTAAGAGCTGATTGAGAAAATAAATTTGTTAGAATGAAATAGTCTGTGTCTGATGCATAAACACTGTGTCGAAAAGTTCTCGTAAGGAAATATTGCAAATACTTAAGTGATAGCTTCAACGACCCTGCTTTCTGTATACCTCCTGTGGTATCTGGAAAGGCAGAGTTGCAGTATTCAGGCTCTTAGCATTGTAGTACAGTACTCACTCTTGATCAATCCGTATCCAGAGAAATCTCCATAGCGTTTTTCATCAATGCAGTGACCCTGTGTAATGGGCTAGGAAGGCAAGAGTAGAGAATAAAAGGCCACCTTCTCGAAAATAAATGTGCTTTTTTAATTTAAAATTCAGCTTCACTGCAGTAGATGTCTAAGTGTATCAACTGATCATGAATGGCTGATGCTGAAAGCAGTTCTCTTTCAAAAAGTTTAGTGTCTTTTTCTCTCTTTCCAAACTAAGGAAACACAGGATAGTTGTGGGGCGGGGGTTAACTATAAATTATTTTGACACGTTTTGATGTCTGTATAATATTTGTGCTTAATTTATCTGTATAATTTAAGAAAAAGGTCCTGTCCCCCTCCCAAACATACAGAGAATACTACTTTCAGATGCTTACCTATGGGCCGGATAGTTTACATTTTCCTTGCTGTTGTTGTTGCTGTTGTTGTTTTAGGCTCTTTGTATGAGGTGTGAAATGGTGTAGCACAGTTTTTCCTTCACTCTGCAGTAGTCCTTGCCATACTTTCTTTACAAGCAATGTGTGTATTAGTAATGGTAAAGATGCCAATAGATGCAATAGCAAGGCTGTCATAATTTATCTAGGAAATTTATTGCAATACCCAGGCAAGTGAATGAACGTCTCAACTCTCTTAATTTTGAATTGGTAACGTTGTGGAAACTAGATCTCTAAATCTATTGCCTCAGCGTCCCCCCTAACAGTGTATTCTAGCACAATATTTTATTTTATGATGAATCTAAGCTTTCAGTAGCCCGGGGTTTCCCCCTGACAGTCTTTTCTTTCTCCCCTCCCTTCTTTCTTTCGGTGATATGGACGCAGAGGTTACAAACCCAGAAAACTGCTGTTAGAAACAACACACATTTATTCCTTTCAGATAGGCCTGCTGTCACTTTCATAAATCAAATCCAAGCAGATAGCCGTGGACTGGGATGCATTATTTTAAGACCAGCTCGTAGTAAAGATCTCAGTCGTCTTGATTTGTGAAATCCGAAAAGGCCATCCTGAAAAAAACCAAAAGGGGAAAGGGTACAAGACAATTTCTTTCTTTTTGCTTTGCTAAAAGCTTCCCAGTTATTGTACAGCTTGGAGGGGAAAGGCATCATGAGTTTTGCTGTATACACGGGAAACCAGAGGATGGACTTCCAGAGGAGGGGTGTGGGGGGAGTTTTTATGTGGTGGATACTATTAACACGTGAGGTGGAATCCTATTTTTCACACATGAAGGGTAGTGGTTTATTAGACATGGAGTAGGTCTATTTAAATTTCTTAGTGGTATTTGGTTACTGGATTTGGATGACAACAAAGAACTAACATTAGGCTTCACACTGGTTTCTATTAAAAGGAAACCTTTGCGGTTTTCTGTGTAAGAAAAGCTGATTTTTAGGATGGAGGAGTAACATTTGGTGGTAGGGACTTGAAAAATGTGCCCATTCTGTGTGTTTATTATTCACCAAAAGTGAGGCCACGTCTCCCCCGCCTCCACCCTCTCTCCCTCCCCCCCCTTAGCCTGGAGGTTCCCAAAGCTGAGAGCGCTCACTGGTTGTCTTCTATGCTCCTCCTGCCCCCCCCCCCCCCCCCCCCCCCCCAAGAAATTGAATCCTTTGAATGTACTTAGGCATTTCAGGGTTGTGAGTCTATGGGATAACATGAGGTAGATAATAATTGAGAGGTTTTGCGTTAAGGGTTATATTGTTACACATGTAAATAATGAAAATATTGTTATATATCGCCAGATCTCTTAACGAATTTAGTAATTGTATTCATTTATAATATCAGTGTTCTGTGCTTGGTAATAGAGTCTCCATCATTTTTTTTCCTGATCAGTATTTTTCTACTTAAAGGAAAGCCAAATGTTTTACAAAGTTCTGTTTGATCAGTCTGGGTAATCCCGAGATGTGATTATTTATAGTTTACATTTTCATACTCTGCGGTCCTCTCCTACGCCCTAGGGGTTTGTTTTTTTATTTTTAATTAATTTTTTTTTTATTATTTTTTTTTTTCCTCATTGACATCCCATCCTTCCACCCCGTCTAGTCTGAACACAATAAATCATTTCAGGTGTCTTTTAAATAGTCATCTCACTGCTGTTGATCCGCATATTTTCGGAACTTAGGAAAGAGCTCGACCTGGGTTTTAAAACACAACGGTTCATACCTGAAGTGATCTTTCAAAATTCCTTATGCTTTAATGTAGTGACTGGTGTTTGCACATTACAATGCTCATAACTTGTTTTGTATGAATGGTTTTCAATGGAACGTTTAGAGAATAATTGGTTCTAATATGAAATGCAGTATATACTATTGATAATTTTATCAATAAGTGTAATATTTTAAATAATTTTAACAATTAAATTTGTTTTTTTAAATTATATATTTGTAAAATATTTATCCTGTTGAAAGCAACAATATATTGTTGTATTTATTCGTTTATTTTTGTAATAAATGATCAACATCTTCAAGCTAAAGAAAAATTGGCACTTCTATATATTTATGCAGATAATACCTTTTAAGAGACAGAAAGCTTTGTTCCAATTTGCCCGAAAATAGAAGAAAATGCATCTCGAACTGCCAGGTTTTAGGAGAAAAATGGCAGAGCAGAGCTCCTTCGCCACATGTAGCTTAGTTTGCCTAAGTTCCAGGGTAATTAATCAAACTCTAAAAGGGATGCAACAAGTATTGGCCCTGGATGCAGGCTTGGAATTAATTATTTAGGATGCGGACCGATTTTGATAAACCTAGGAATTGCAAGGAAATTGGTCTTCTGTGGCGAGATGGATGGATGAAATGAACGGATGGGATCCATAGATAATACTTGAAACTATTTGCAGTTGCTGCTTGAATAATTGTCTTCTCTTGGTGGGGGGGGGGGGGGGGGGGAGGGGGAGAACCTCGGTATCAATGACACAGCAGTAGGGAGCTTTGGGGCTGACAACCCTTGGCGAGACAAAAAGCGAAAAGGTTAACGCAGAGTGAAGAATGACTGAGCTCCCCGTCTCCTTTAGTGCCAGGGCAGCAGCAAGGGGCTGGACGTGGGGCAGTAGGTGGGCTAGCGATGTGGGGTGGGGGCAAACAGTGCACCTCTTACTCCTTGCTTAGGCAAAATTCTCCTTAGAGACAAGAGGGGCTTTGGCCCAGAGAGATCCAGGGCGGACACTTGGTCACTGCACCCCCCTGGGGACCTGAGGCTGCAGGTCCCGTGCGTGACGTCACGGCCGGCTGTTCTGCATTAGAGCCTTGACCTTGACTCTGGGGTGGGGGGAGGGGGGGCTGCCTCCTGTCACCTTGCAGTCAGCCCGGGGCAGGGCACGGCCGGCTGGCACTGGAAACTTTGCCAGCTCTCAGTTAGGTGAGAGGTGATGCTGAGAGCTGGCTTCTCAGCACATGCCCACGGGGCCAAGCATCCTTGCCCTCATCTTCTCCCCAGCTCTCTGCACTTGGGGTGGGGTGTGGTGGGGGGAGCCCAGGAGCTGCGCTTAGCTTCAGGCAGATCAGGCCTGTGCCTGGGGCAGGGTGCACTAGGCCTCTGGGAGCACCCCGGGGCGCAGGGCCGTGTCCCCGGCCGGACTGCTCCCCTGCAGAGCAGCTGGATC